ATCAACAATAATAAACGTATTGATTTTGAACCATTTATTTATCACAAAGAACATAGCAAAATAAGTAAACTAAAAATGTAACATAACTGTCTATTTATACAAAATATAATGCAAAAGAATGATATAATTTTAATATAAGAGGAATATATTTAAGAAGAATCTTGCATGCGCATCCAACTTTTTAGGCACAGGCAAGCTTGTATAGTATGCTCATCTAGTGAACAACGTTGGTCTATTATAACATACCGTCCTTCTGAAAAAGCCTTTTCAGAGCTAGATGAGGTGGCCGGAATTGCTAGATAATCTCTGGCAAATTTTGATAATACTGGATATCTATTTTTATTTAATTTCCACCAATCTAATAAATTTGTATCATTGGAAATTGTGGCTTCATCTACGTATTTACTTATTTCTAAGTTGTTATTATTATGAGGTTTCATCTGATAAATTTTGTCACAAAATGTTATTTTGTGCTTCATCTGTAAGTTCCGCTGATTTGTTATCATTTATTTTATAAATATTGTATTCATTAGTAAGATATCCAATAAGAGTTTCCATATTATAATGCTTTAATAAATGACTTGATAGTTTAAATCTTGGGTCAATAATTGTTGAAATAATAAAGAGGTGTTTATTAAAATTATAGTATTTATTAAGTTTTGTTAAGGCAGCTAAAGAAGCTGTCTTTAAAATAGTGGATTATTATTATAACTCTCCACATGCTCAAAAATACTGGAATATAAAGGAATAATTGTTGAAATTGACGGAGTATTAGCACACGAGGCCATCTCTGTAGCAAAATTAAATGGTTCCAAAAATTCTCGGTATATTTCTATATTATTCCAGGCTAAGGCACTAATATAATTTTCTTGATTGGTTATTTGTAAATGATTGGTATATGTTGTCAAATAGGGTTTGAGCAATATTGCTCTTTCAAGCATTTGGTATGTTGAATTCCAACGTGTTGATATATCCAAAATTGGGTGAGGAAATTTTAAGTGTGGATTTTTTTCAAGATATTTTTTTCGAGTTTATTAAATTTAGATATAGAAAGTTTAAAAATTTTTAAAAAATTTCTTATTTTTTTTAAAGTTGTATTTAAGGGTTCCAATGCAGCCATGACAGCCAAATGTATAATATGGCAAAAACATTTGTACACATTATCAAAATTATCTTTTTGTTTTAAAATTTTTAAAAATGCTAAATTATTACTTGCATTGTCTAATGTAATGCAAAAAAAATCAATTTCAAATTTTACTTTTAATACAGAATTAAAAATATTAATAGAATTATGTGCTGATTTAAAAGGAATAAAATCTAATAAATGATTATTTAATTTAAAATCATTATCAATATAATGAATTGTTATGCCCATAAAGGGTATTTTATTTGGAGAGGACCAAATGTCCATTGTTAAGGAAAATTTAGATGTAATGTTAGAAAGTACAGATTTTAAATTGATAAAAGAACTATGATAATGTTTTATAATTTTTATTTTTAGTGTTTTTCTAGAAACTAATGTTAGTAAAGGGTTACAATATGCTATTAAATTTTTAAAAGTGATATCCTCAACTATTGAAAAGGCTAAATTATTTTGAATGAAAAAGTTTATTATTAAATTATTTAAATTAGCTTTATTATTTATTATATTAAGTAAAAATGCTTTTATTGTCTTAATTTTTTTACTGCCAATATTTATTTGATCACATTTCTTATATAATGCTGGGTGGATGGATTTAAGATGTCCATAATCCTGAGGTTCCAAAATTGGGAAGTGATATTTTTTTTTTACATTTATTACAAATTGCCTTTTTTTTATTATCACATGTAGTATAAAATTCCCAGATTTTTGCTGAATTTCGTCTTTTATTAGATATTGATAATTCTTCTTATTCATTATCGCTATTATTATTAGTACCAACAGCATCTATATTTATTAACTCTATTTGGTCTTCATTTATTATAATATCTTAAATAAATAGATAAAATTGAGAGATATCATGTAAAAAATTTACTTCCATAAATAAACTATATAAATAACAGAAATATTAATATGACAGTAGTATTTGGAAAAAATAACAGATGTACAATGAAAGTAAAAAAAATACCACGATATAATTATCCACGATAAACCCAAATAATTATGTTAATATTGGTATTGGTATTGGTTAAAATTGTATTTAAACAATATATCAAAACCAATATATTTAGGTGATTGGTATTGGTATTGGTTGTAAAAGCAATACCAATATTTAAATATATATTGGTTTATATTGGTATTGGTATTGTAAACCAATATTATATTGGTATTGGTCCCACCCCTACCTCCAGGCTTAGCGAAATTTTTTGAATGTTAGGATTGAACTGATTTAACAGCACTAAAGGCAAGAAATAGTCCAATTTTAGCAAAATTATTTAAATATAGGAATTTGAAATTATCAAATAGGTAGATTATTAATTGTTAAGATTAATCAATTTAGAAAGAAATAGTAAATTGAGATATTTTAGGTGTTCTTTTGCCAATGATACCATTTTGATTGATTAATATCTAAAAAAAATCATAAGTAACATGTTGACAATGATCAGTATTATATGGGGAGCGTCTACATGTTGGAAATATCATTGAAAGCAAACCTTCTCCAAAATCAAACCCCACTATCCTAAAAAAATTCACGGCTTTTGGCCGCGATATTTATTTACTATTATGATATAATACTGACACTAATTTAAAAGTTTTATAATGAGCCATCAAACTTTCAAATAATTTTGATTAAACTATCTGACCTCATGATTATTTAGGCTAGGAAAAACAAATAAATATTAGTTGGTGATAATCAACTAGTTGTTGCTAACCATATTCTTAACATTAGACACGAGCGCGTACCACTTCAACCTGCACTAAAATGTTCTCTGTAAATGAATGAGAACCCGCTCGTTTTTAGATTCAAAGTAAATAAATATGAAAAAACTGCTGAACTTCAGCTATATATTGATGAAGATTAATGATAAATCTAAAAAATGCCTTAACTATGTGAATACATTATTCTGCAGTACTACTGAGTGTTAGAGAGGCTTTCATCTTATTATCATGGTAGATAATCGAGCAAGTTTAAGTGTAAATAATTTGTAAAAAAAATATTATTGGACCTTCGATATCAGAATGGATTCCAGATCTATATCAAAATATGGAAAAGGAATCATCGTGGAAAAATGATAGAAAACTAAGAAGTGGAAAATTTATGGATTTTTTTAAAATTTATATTAAGTCGATCTATATATATCATTTTTTGATAATATATCAAATAAAAATCGCCCCCTCGGCCAAATTTTTAAGCAATACACCACTGATCTTGACCTATTCAACATTCTTCTATTTGAGAGAACTTTCCTTACTGAATTGTTTGTCTAAGTTGATTTAATATATTTATCTTGGTATCTATCTTGATCAATCTGCAGTTAGATCATCATCGGTATCAATTTTGCTTGGCATCCTTATTGTGTAGGTTAATAATATTTGATAAGAATCGCTTGTGTCGATTCAAATTATAGGTACTTAATAGTTCTATTGTACTTATTATCGTAATTGTTTTGTTATCGGTATCGTTTTGATAATACTGTAGTAGTTATCATATTTAAGATTCGTTATTATTTAAATTTATTTTCATTTATTTATGTTTAAATATGCTTTTAAAGGGATGATATATAGAAGATCGAACTCGAACACATGATTCCGTTAGAATATACTAAAAGTAGATCAAGACTATTGTAATTTAAAAAATTTTGGTCGTCGTTTATGAAATTAGCTTGTTATTAAAAAATTGCTCTTGTTGACTTGGCAGTTTCTATCATTAACCTTGCCCTTTGGAATCTGTACTAGTAGTAGCAGCTATTTCATAAGCGGAGCCAGGAGACGGCAAAGGTAAAACCCTACCTCTGCGTTCTTGTAAATAGCAGCTTAAGTTAATAAAAATTTTCTCTCCCTCCCCCACCTTCCTTCCAAAAATAATATGTATTCAATATATCACCATAGAGAAGAATTATGAAAAAAATATACATTTTTATAAAAAAAGTAAAAGCCCAAAATAATTTTTATAAAAATCGAATAGAGCCTAGAGCTTATACAATAGGTGGACCTAAAAACTTATAATAATATATGGGAAAGAAACCAACCTAAAAGTACCACCCCCCATCCTTAGCAAAACCATGGCTATGCATCATCGTAAATTAATTTATAATATTATGGACATTAGATTAGATTTATATGTTAGCGGCAATGTGCTATTAACTTTAAATCATTTTTTGAGCGCTTTTTTTAAATTTAAGAATCTGATTTCACCAAATATATTCCACAATGTTTGGAATACCTATTCTATGAATTTCAAACAATTTTGCCATAAACTTTTGAATTAATATAATTTTTGCATATGTTTTTATGACTCAAAGGTTAAGGGCAAAATTATCCACAATTCATAAGATAGATATTCTAAACAAGCTGGAATATATTTCCGGTAAAATGAGATTTTTTAATTTAAAAAAACGCGCTCACAAAAATAATTTAGTTGAAAAAATAATCATATTGACGGAAAGAACACATCGACGCTAACATAATTTTATAAATTTACCTTCCATTTAGTCAAACCTGTTTTATTTAGGTGCCTTTTAGACAAAGATTTTTGTAAAAAAATATCCCGATATTATTTTTCAGAAATAATGATTTATTCCATCAAAAGAGTGGACAAATTTTTAAATTCTCTAAACTAGTGTTGTTAAAAAGCCCGATTTGGGTCGATTTTTCAAAACGGGACTAAGATTTTAGCTAAAATAATATTATGAAAAGCATCGAGATTTGGCAAATAGATCTATGTGTAAAATCTTTAGGCTTACATAATGTATTTTGGTTATAATCTTAATCGGGCCGTTTTTTAAAATCGACCCAAATCGGGCCTTTTAACAACACTAATCTAAACCTTAAACAATAAGGTAATATATATATACTACTAGATTGGCGATTCCTTTATTAAATGTACTCAAAAATGTCCATACATAGGAGTCAGCTGTAGCGTCATTCTGTGGTTTGTACCTATTAAATAACATTAATGTGCATTCATATAATGATAATAAAGACAATTAGTCGAAGTGCAAATGAAAAAATGACGCGATAGTGATCCCCATGTATAGACCTTTTAATTAATGAAAAAAAATCTAGAAGTATATAAACATCATTGGAATTAAATTAGAAATTTAATATAATAAAGCCCATTTTAATGAAATAATTGAAAAAAATCGGTTTTATCATTCAATTTATTCAAAACCGAATTAATGGTTAACGAATTCAATCATAAATTGCCTGGAGTCGCGAAATTAATTTCCAAAAAAAAGTAAAATAGATCATCGAATAAATATATATAAGATTGTATCTAACTTTTTTAAATTTTGACTTGTAAAAATATGAGTACTATTGAAATGAAGATATATAAATTTGTAATTTATGATTAAAAATTTAATTGAAATTTGGATTTTTTTTGGCGCAAACGCGCTATAATTATATAAAATATGATAGCGTCCACGTAGTCTTATAATCCAATAATACTATTTAAAAATTGTAAAAATAAATTTTGAGACAAACTATATTTAGACGGGAAAAGTTACAAAAAAATATAATGGGGTCTGTCTGACATTAAGCAGGTGATATGCGTTTTTATCTAATAATTTTATTTTATTTTATATTTTTGGCGTATTAGTGAAAATGACATGTGTATGTGATGTACTGTATGTGTATGTATAATATAAATTTTGTACAAAGTATTAATAATTTTAATAATATAACATAAAAAATAAATACATATTAAATAGGAATAATGGGTAATTAATCTAAATAAAAAATAAATAAGGTTTATATGAATGACGTGTAGTGCATTTTGTAATGAACACAAGAAATTTAATTAGTGGAAAATAAAAAACTATTTTTTTCAGTTCCTTTTGAGCACCATCCTCAAATTTTTCCTGATAACTACACTTGCATATTAGTGCTGAAATGTATTCATTGTCAAAACTAAACTATAATTTAACTAAGGAAAAAATTAGTCAAAATTTTTAGTAATAAAATATTTTGTATGATTATTTGATTACAAGTAAAAAGGTTAGGTTAGTAATTTAATGAGCCCATGATTCAAGCAAACGCAAATCTTCGTCATCCTGATTATGAGATGAGGAGGCTTTGACTAAATATAAAATAAAATAAATATTGTTATAAAATCGTAATCATAGACTTGCAGACATATAAAAATTCCTGGCCTGTATAAATTTATTAGGCTGTACCAATTTATTTTCACCAATCTGATACTCATTAAAAATTGTGGCTATAACCGATATTTACATTTTTATTTTAGACCTATCTTTGAACCAATGCAATAAAAATTAATATTTTTTAAAAAATAATTAAACCAAAATTGTATTTTTTTATTTGCCAAAAGTTAATCGCTCATTTAAAATATGGGTAAGATATATTGCCGACTAGTGCTGTTAAAAGAACTCAATTTGAGCCGATTTTTAAAAAAGGCTAACTCATTATTTTATCCAGAAAAACATTACTGAAATTTGCTCATAGATGGCACAAAGATTTGGACATCTAGTAGCGAAAACTCAAGGATTAGGCAATAAAATTTGGCTAAAAATGGAGTTAGGAGTTTTAAAAATTGGCTCAAGACGAGGCGTTTAAAAATGCTATTGCTAACTCTTATTTGTTAAATGGTTTTATATTAATATTATTTGTTCATAAAAGGATCTAAAAGTGCTATGCGAATGCATGCCTAAATTTCCATTCAGATAAAGGAAAAATAAATCATCATCCATATTTTGTGATTGTTTAAAACATAACAGGAAAGTAAAATATACTAAGAATAGGTTCTGAAAATGGAATAATTTGGACATTAATGATAGATGTAAATTTATAGAGCCATCATTTTTTTTAATTATAGAAACGAGGGATTTGTGATTAAAATTTTTCCAAATGTTATTTTTTATGAAGAATAGGTTATATTTTTGACTGATTATCTAATATATTTTGATCTTTTGCTAATAATTCTTCAATAGATCTATTATGGAATTGTTGTAAATGCTTGTGAATAATGGTAGTATTGAATACATTTTTAAAAATTATCCTCCAAATAAAATTGCAGAGCGATATAAAAATGTCATATCTTTATCTAAATATAATTTTATATAAAAAGTATATATATGTAGATACTATTGTAGAGGTATCTATAAGATTTTAACAATTGCTTTTTAAATTATTTTTGCTATTCTTTTTATTATTATTGAATCATATGAAATAAAGAATATAATATAATAGCTTAGCTATATATATATAAATAATAAAGAAGATCAAAATATTGAAGTTAATTGGATTTTTTAAGAAACTCTTTTTCAATTTCCCAAAGTATTTACATTTAGAATGACTAACTTAATTTGTTGCCCATCTTAGAGATTAACTTAAAAATTATACTCAGGCTGGATGGAATAAAAATTATTTTAAACAATTTAAAACTGGGAAATAATATGACAAGATGTATATATATTAGGAAATATATCATAAACCACACATTTAAAATACAGGTTGTAATTAAAATAATAAAAACAGTATTTACTATCATTTAAACCTAAAAAATTATACGTATTTTGTCAGATTTCAAAATTTTATATAGGTTACTTTTGGATTTAGATGGTGATTTTGATGGCTCAGCCATTGGAGGAGTGGGTAATGGAATAATAGATGGACCAGCAACATTAAGCAATTGTTTATCTAATTCTTCTTGCTCTAATTGTTCAAGTTCTGCATTTAATTCAGCCTTTAATAAAATAATGCAAAATTTTTTTTAAATGAGATAAAATTAATATAAACTTGTTTAATAAAAGATTTAAAGAGATAACTATCCAATAATTAGAAAACAAGCAAACAAAATAATAAAGGTGATAATCTCTCGATGTAATACAAGAAACAAATATTGTATACTTCATCAATATCCTGACCAAAACCAATAGGATTTGATATTGCATCTGATATTTCATTAGCTATATCTTGCTGCTCAGCAACATCATCCATTAGATCATGAACTTTATCAATATCCCTTTAAAGGAATATATAAAATGGGTTAATTTTTATAAGAAATATCTATTACATGTCTTTATGAGTAATTTTTAATGCTTTTGCTGCATAACCCATGATCCGCAATACTTCTGTATTTGTGTTTGCATTTTCTAAAGATTCTCTTTGAAATTCAATAGTTGATAAAGTGCCATCTATCTGCTGTAGTTGTTTTTCATATCGTTTTTTACGTTTTAAAGCTTGTATAGCGACTATTTAATTAAAAAAATTGACTTAATTAAAAAAATTTTAACAAAATATTTACTTCTTTTATTTACAGAAGCATTTTTTCGTGCAAGTCCAATTTCTTGTTGTATTTTATTTTCAAGATAATCCGATTTTTTTATTAACATGTCTTCAACATCTCGCAGCCTTGTTATCGCTTCTTGAGGCGTTGGGACTTCTTCCTTCTTCCCGCTACCCATGAGTTTATTAAATATACTCATTTGTCTTCTGATAAATACATAATAATCTAAAGTTTGATTTACGGTTTTGATAAAATGATACGATAGACAACCTGTCATACCACATGAAGTTATATTTAATCGAATCGAAGATGGGCAATCTGTGCAATATAATCCACGCAGAGCCAAACGATCTTATTATGAAATAAATATAGGCATTTGCCTCAAACAAGAAACACACTAAATCTAATATAGAATAACTCTAGCCAACATATAGGTCTTTTAAGTCACACCGATTTAAGTAGACCTAGCTTGATTTCTACTAAACACTAGTTCAAAATAATCCAATATATTTGTAAATTAGAAAACCCTGCATATCATATATTCGAAGTTAGGATTGGCAGATTCTGCTTAGTGGAAAATAGGACATATTTTTTGATGAATTTATGGCATTTAAATGAATTTAAAAATATTAAGTGATATTTAAGCAATAATTTATTTTTATGCATTTATATAAAAGCAACATAAATAATTAAAATTGAAATTAAATCCATACATCATATTATTTTATCCTTTTTTTTTGTTTGCAGGTATTTTTCATTATATATTTCTCCTTCCAGGCGCGTACGCAGCGGGGGGAGGGGTACAGGACAGGGGGACAAATCCCCCCCCCCCCCCCAAAGCCAAAAAATGCAAATGCCGGATTATATTTTTCAAAATTATTATTGTTAATATTAATTTATATTTGTTAATATTTATACTTATCTCATGTACACATATATATATATATTTAATTACATTTATTTATCACATTCATCTACTAAGTTATTTTATCAATCAATTTCGATTTCAAGTTTTCCTTGGCGTAATTTACCTATTATTTTCAAATTTTAGTGGCGTAATATTTATCTAAATTTCTAATAAAATAATAATTATCTCTGAAACTCCTTGTCCAACAGGGAGAAAAAAATTGTAAGCTTGTCCAACGAGATCGAGTCTCTACCACAGTAACAGCTATTTTGGAGTTAGAAGAGCGCTGATTATTAATGCTATTACTGAAATATCACAATGGCTTGAAAGAAATATTTCCTCAGAAGCAAGAAAATTATTGGATTCAATACTTATTCCACTATTTTATGTAATACTTTTCAAAAACATAACATTGACTTGATTAAGAAGATGAGAATAGCGGAGAGCATTTTATTAGAACTCAAGGAAATAAAGCTAGTGTTGAAGAATTTCATATTTTATATGTTATTGTTGAGTCAAAAGCAGAGCTATACGTGTTAAATATTTGTCCCTCTCGACTTGCAGCAAGCAAGCTCATCATCAAAACATTAATATAGGATCAGTAGAAGAGTATTATAAAATAAATGTCCCCTCTCCCAACCTTTTTCATATGGTGATAGAAAAAAAATATAAATATTTGTTATATTTTTATCATGAAGATGTTAAAATATCTTATGATGCCTTATTAGCTGAATAACTATGATTAAAAGATTAACTATGGTTGATACAGTCCCAAAAAATGCTATGGATGCTTTTTTATTTCAAACACATTTTAGATTATACTCCCAATTATTAAAATGGTTATATATATATTAGCAGCTCTTTAGTAAACTAATGAGAGAACATTCACTTTTTTAAGAAGAATAACAGAGCCTTGCAGAGGTACCATTTGCAGGACCAGGCCCAGATTTTTTTTAAAAATTTTTTCCGGCCCGGGTTTTTTTTAAAAAAAATTTCAGGCCCAGCCCGGCTAGCCCAGCTCGAATTTTTTAAAATAAATTATATTTATTTTTGATATTTATAGCTAATAATGGCGATTTCAAACATTTGGTTTTAAAATATACAACTCGGCTCGGATATTTTTTCTTAAAAAATTTTCAGGCCCAGCCCGGGTGTTTTTAAAAAAAAAATTACGAGCCCGGCCCGGGTATATTTAAAAAAATTAAAATACGGTCCGGCTCGGGGGCCGGGCCTGCAAGTCTGTGAAAAACATACCTATGAAATACAACATTTGAAAGTAGATTGAATGATTTGGATCTTTTGAATATTCATAGACATTTAACGCCAAGCAAGGATTGATAATTGAAAAATTAGCTCAAAACATACAAAATACAATTATTCCTAAGAAACTTTTTGTGTATTAATTTATATTTACAACATTTAAATTTTTTATACTTTATATATTTTAAAAGCTCAAAAAATTCAAATTTCAATTTTGGGTCATTTAAGTGATTCATATCGTAGGTTATATTCACTTTATATTTTATGATTCACATTTAAATGCCGGTTTATATATATAATTTTTTTAATTCACATTAGTTTAAAATTGTGTATTAGAAAAGTTATTAATCCTAATAAATTTATGCTTAGTATTTTTAATTAAAAATATTATTTCTTAAAAAAATTTATTATCCCCCCCCCCCAGACCAAATTCCTGCGTACGCGCCTGTCTCCTTCTATCAAAAAATTTAAAAAAATCTTTGCATAAAAACATTTTAAAATTATATTGCGCGAACTTAATTGCTCTTGTAGAGTCGATAAGCTATTGGTATCATTTGTTGATTATTTATGGCATTAGCGCAGCCAAGGGGTGGTGAGTAATAGGAAAATCTCTCTCTTTTAGAAATATGATAAATTTGTGAATATCATTTTATGCTAGTAAAAAATATTCTCCTTAGCTTCCACCCTTTTCTCTCAGAAATGTATTCATATATCTTAAACATTAATTTGAAAGAACAAATGTAAAAAGTAAATAATTTTTTTTACTAAAATTTTTAACTATAATTCATATTTTTGTAAAAAAAAACATTTATATATTAAAATGATTAAAAATTTATTTCCTAATTTGTTCCAGGCATCTTATTTATTACTACCATCTCTAGATAACCAATTTCGTACATTTTAAATAATGATTATAAGTTAATTTTATTAAAATTAACCTCCTATCCTTTAAAAATATAGGCTAAATGTTGAATAATGATAATTATTCAATCTTGACCTTGTCTTATTTTTGTAACTTTTATTTTTACTACTTATTCTTATTTTTGTACAAAGCTTATTTTATATTTTATTATCTTATGTGGCTATTCATAATTGATCTGTTCTTATTTTTATTTTGGTAAAACTAATTTTATTTTCAAATTTGATATATTAAATTTTGTATATAAACTGTAGATTTTTTCCAACTAAAGTAGTTATAATAAATTTAAAAAAATAAAATAATATAATTCATTTTACCTTTACCTTACTTCTTTTAACACCATATTAGCATGGCGCCCCGAAAAAAAACTCTCGGCATAATTTTTTTTTAAATTCTTCCACTTCGTTTTAGTGGGGAAAATTAACATGGTAAAATTGAAAAACCTATATTCGCCTGTTAAACAGTGACACTCATGTATTTTATCTTAACTTTAAAAAATTGTTTTTTTTACATCCTTAAGCTATTTATGGCGTAACTTTAAAATATTTCAAATGTAATAAGAATTGTTTCTTTCTTTTTGTTAAAAACAACTTTTATATTTTAAATCAATTTGTTTATAAACTAATATTAAATTTTATATTTTATAAATCAATTTACTTAAAAAACGAATGTTCAATTTTATATTTTAACTTTAAAAAGATCAATTTATTATAAACTACATTAAATTAAATTGTCAATATATACAGGAAACTATTTTGAGTTATGTGATTATTATATTTTTTTAAATTTAAATATCAATAAATTGACTTAAAAATTATATTCTTGAAGTCTGCACCATTAGAAATCTTTAGAAATTTCATGGTGGCAGCGTATCCTAAATTAAAATTTTCTAAAATATTAAATATAAATTAACTTCTTAAAATTTTTATAAAATCCAATACTATAAAATAGAAAAATTCAAGGATATTGTAAATTATAAATTATGAAACAGACCTCAAATAATAACGTTAATATTAATATTGAATTTCCAACATACACAGGTAATGGCGATGTTTTTCTAAGTCGTTTCGAAGACATATTCAACGATGCTCAGATCTCTGATATCGAAAAAGCAGGATCCTTCACAAGAAGACTACCAGACGAAGAATACATCAAGCTCAAATCGATATGTTCACCTACCGATTTTATCAATCCATCGATATTGATTGAAAAATTTAGGTTATTACACCCGAGGAAATCTACAAGTTCGAAATTGTTATTATTCAATGCAGCTGTACAAGGTAAAAATGAAAGTTACATCAATTGGGTAAGTAGATTATGTATTTTACAAAATGAATGTTCGTTAAGCGATAGTAGAGTCATTGAAAAGGTAAAAATTTTATCAAATAGCAGAAGTATCAGGCAGAAAATTACGTTGAAAGAGAATATTACGTTAGCAGAAGTCTTTAGTTTAAGAGATGATTTTGAGGACACAGAATTAAAAGAAAATATAATAGCTAAAGTTGAAAACATTTCTTTAAGTGAAAAGACTGAAGAAGAAACAAGCGTAAAACATTTGGAAAGACAAAGAGGCATGAAAGTTGAAGAAAACAAACAGGTGGTCAGATACGACGATAGACATAATCCACGATCGAATAACGATAACAGACACCTATGGACTACGAGAAACAACAACTTTCAAAGAAATAATTATCAGGGAAATAATTACAACCCTAGACATCAGAACTATAATGCGGGTAACTACAATAACGTTAGGGCAAATTACCCAGGATTATACAATAATTTTTCAAGATTTGAAAATAGAACCAGTTATAATAACGATAATAACCAAAGATTTTATTATGATTACAATCACGGATTCAACAGACGCTATGATACTTCAAGATGCACGCAAAGGCATAGTAATAATTATAATGGAAATCGAGGAGGAAGTTACGCATGTAATTGTAGACATCATGTCGACCATAATAATCAAACACGATACACTAATAAAATAAATACCATAAACATAGAAGAAATAAAAGAGGATGATAATAATAAAATAGAAAAAAAAGAATATAATTTGTATAACTTGGACATAAATAATATTTTAAGTTTGTAATCAAGTATGAGTTTAGTAAGTTTATCATTACAATAATCATCACCTATATTTCCCACAAATTTTTTTAAAATATTTTTGAAGGCACTTAGCCAAGTTCTGCCAAGTAATGGACTCTTATTGCTATTAACAAGGATCGCTTGTAAATTTTTAGTTACTCCTTCATAATTTACGCTAATTTGCGCCGTTCCTAATATTTTGATCGCCCAACTTTTATAAAGATTAAAAAAAAATTTTTTATAATGTGTTAGGTAGTTGTAATTTATATAATTCCTATAAACTACTTGTTTTTGTTTTGGTAATAACCAAAATTTAAATTGTTTTTTTCTGAACTACAAATTCTAATTGTAAATGACATTATATAGTTACAAATTTTATTATAAACTAGTAGAAAGCCCGTCAAAAATGACGGGAAATTAGATTTTTATTCATTTTTTACGATAGATGTCATGCCAGGTTCAAGCTCACAATATTAGGAACGATCCAAGATCTTATAATTTTAAAAAAGTTTATCAAGCCCAGCTCAACCCTTAATAAATTGTAAAAGATATTCCCAAGTCAGGTGCAAGCTAATATTAATTTTGAGGTTCCAAGCCCAGTCTTACCCATTATAATTTTGAAAATTTTCTCCCGCCTCGGAGATAGTTAAATTTTTAATTGATTTATCATCACATGAAGGGGAAATATCTGGTTTACCAATTAGTCTAATATGCAAAAAAATACATATTCCATATTAAGGGAAAGTGGGAAGCCCTGGGCAACCACTTATTAGAGAATCATGACAAATATAATAAAAATAACCGCCTCTTATACTTTTTTGTAATATGATCAATTAAAATTAAATCTAAAAAATAAATTGTTGTTTATTATATAGGGTTATTGTTGTTTTTCAGATAAATTTAATGTATGTCTTGCATTTCCCAAATTATTTGTCAAAGAATTTGATAAGGAATATATATATTTTTATGTTAAATAAAAAAAATGCTATCTATTTAAATTACATAAATGCCATTATACACTAATGAAACTTATATGCAAATTATTTATATATTTATTTTTATTGACATATAAATTTAAGATAATTTTTTAAAAAAATAATGAGGATTAATTATTATGTATTTGATATAATTAAGAGCAAATCCTTGTTGACATTTTAATTTTTGATGGAAAAAGCGACAAAATAAATGTGGGCGGTCGTCTGGAGAGGAAATAATTAATGTATAATTTTATATCATTTAGGGTTGTAGATGAAAGTAATGATGGATTAACAAAACAGTGTACAAAACACAATACGTCCTGATAAAAATGATATGCCTATGCCTTGGGATACTGGTAAAAGAAGAAAGCAAAACGATATTTCTGTCAATGTCAGCATTGGTATCCCCCTCTAAAATAGAATCATGAACGACAATGTTAACTAAGTATTGTTATAAAGGCCACGACAGAACTGCTGCATATTTTTCCATTAATAAAGTTGATGGAATTGGCCGTACTGTACATTCAAGGAACATTCCTCTAAATATTCATGAAAGTTTCTCGGAGAATCGGATAAAGTAATATTTATATTAACTCCTAGTGAAGTGAATTATAGTACAGAATTAAATATTTATATTTGTCAAAAAATAGGCGGAGGTGGCATAGGGATTGTGGTATTGGCGATTGAAATATCATTTAGAGAACTGGGTGAAAATAAAATAAACATAGATATAAAACATAAAATAAAAAAAATATAAATAAACTATTGTTGAAATTAAACAAACATTAAAATAATGTAAACCAGTAGATGGGTCAATATTAGATGCATATTTCTAGTAGTTGCAGGGTGTAGTATTTGGACCGATGGGTCCCCCAGTCTGAATGGGAAAAATACAATCCGTGATCGGGGGTCAGGGATGGTCGATGACAGGATCCAGGGGGCCGTGTTTTATTGATTTAGTCATGGAATCCCTTGGACGACGTAGTTAAAATAATATTTTCAAAGTTTATTCAACAAAGTAAAATTACAAAAAAAATATCAATTTTCAAAACGAACGAAAATAATTAATGATCCAAAAGGTGTTTTGTTTTCAACCTTTATAATTTTTAAAACAAAAAGGAAAAAAAAAGTGGTTATTTAATCGCGATACCATCATTCATGAAACTGGTAAGAACCAGTTTCAAATGCAATATAAAAATAAGGTATAATATATCAATTTCATAACAAAATAAAGGAAGATGGGAAAACAAAAGAAACAAGTAGAAAAAAAAAGAAATAAGTTGTACGGGACAAAGGGGGGGGGGAGTAGAACATAACAGAGGGCTATCATCAAAAAAGATTTTTGGGGGACTTATCATGCCTATTATGATATATTAAAAGTTTATTTTGCATTTGTTCATTATTAATGGCTGATATATCAATATTTGATTGATAAAAATATATTTTAATAGTAGGGTAAGAATTAAAAATTTATATTTAGTAAGAAAAAAAAGGTGTTATTAAATATATGTATATAAGAAAGAAATAAGTAATAGTGATATAGGTAATAGAAGTAGACTAAAAGAAAAAAATTGGTAATTTGAGAAAAGATTTTTATATTAAATTGAGAAAAATTAAGAATTGGTATTTGTCAGGAAATAGAAAAAGAAAGCAGACGATTTGATAAATTGATAGAAGAGAAGGGAAAAAGCTGACAATTTAAGGTTAAAAAATAACATGATGAATGTAATGTTATCAGGTATAATTAATTGTAAGGTAATTAAAAAATAAGACTAAAAAAGGGGGGAAAAAAGAAGGTATAAATTATTATATTATAAAATTAATAAAAATTAAATTAAAGGAATTGATAAGGTTTTGAGAAGTAGTGGTTAATAAATAATAGAGATAGGAAGAAAAGAATGAGACAATAAAATTTAGTTATGAATAAATTCACTAAGGGAGGGGAAAAAATAAAGAAAGAGTTATTTATAAGGATTGGATATTATAAGTAGGTTAGGATAAGAATATTTAAATATTTGAATATACTTGGTTATCTTCTTAATTATAGGTTATGAAAGAAAAATATGAGTATAAAAAATTGTGATGTAAGTACTGACAAAAATTGTGAGTATGTTCAAAATAAATATATAAGTTGAGTATCTTGTAGAGGAAAATTACATTAATGTGTAATTGATAATATAAGATGAAAATTGATAAGGTAATCTAAAAAATAAAGAAAGGATTAAGTGAAATAAAAAGTTAGCCTGAATCTTGAGAAATGAAGAGACATTGAAATTTGAATTATTTTTTTATTCACATCATTTATTTCATTCGTACAGAAAGTTGAGGGAATATTGTTTATATCAATTTAACATCATCCATTTTTTCGCAGAAGATTTTTCCAGCCCAAAAATATTTTCATCTGTTTGTACAAAAATAAATAAAATCAACAAATGTGAGCTTGGACCTGGCATGACACTATCGTAAAAAATAAATAAAAATCTCAATCCCCATCATTTTTGATGGGCTTTCTTAATAATTTGTAATATTTAGTAAATAATGTATTACTTTCCTATGTATAAACATTGGTATAAAAGAGAATCATGACAAAATAAGGTCTGCCCTAATATTATTTATGTTTTTTTTACATTTTAAACTAATTGGTAAATCAGATATTTACTGTTCATGTGATGATAAATCAATTAAAAATTTAACTATCTCCGAGGTGGGAAAAAATTTTCAAAATTATATTGGATACGACTGGGCTTGGAACATCAAAATTTATATTAGCTTGCACCTGACATGGGAATATCTTTAACAAATTATTAAGGGTTGAGCTGGGCTGGATAAACTTTTTAATAATTATATGCTTCCTAATATTGTGAGCTTGGACCTGGCATGACACTATCTTAAAAAATGAATAAAAATCTCATTCCCTGTCATTTTTGATGGGCTTTCTTAATAATTTGTAATATTTAGTAAATAATGTATTACTTTCATATGTATAAACATTGGTATAAACTCAAGACTTGATCAATGGACATGGGAATATCTTTTACAAATTATTAAGGGTTGAGATGGGCTTGTTTTATTATTATATGCTTCCTAATATTGTGCCTCCTACAGTTGCATTAATTTTGAAAAAAATTACCCAAGCCTAGAGATATAAAATATTAATAATTTGTAATATTTAGTAAATAACAATGACATATAATATACCTAGACTGACGATTCATTCATTAAAATGCATTTTTAAGCGTCGTTAAAAGCAAATCAGCTGGACCTGCCATTTTGGTAACCTATACCATAATTATTTTATTGAAGATATTTAATTTAACATTAATATTTTCTTAAAAACTATTTTAATAATTTATGAATGAAAAATATCTTTTTTATTTTTATGGAAGTAGACTATGAGCTATTGTTGTGCAATATCATGCAATTCAAAATCTATTAATAATAATTGATCCTATATTTTCCAATTATCACAATGATCATACATACATAGCCAATTTAACTATAAAGCCAGGTTTTTCTTTATAAATAATAATAAAAATAATTTGATTTTAGGTTTTTTTGATGCTTCCTTCAATAGAATTAAAAGTTGTCATTGGTAAATAATGTATTACTTTTGGGTTTTAATATGGCCTCCTACAGTTGCATAGAAAATTTAAGTTATAGGATCATCTGTTTGTATAAAATAAATAAATAAAATCAACAATAGTAAATAATGTATAACTTTTTGGGTTTAATATGGCCTCATACAGTTAGAAAATTTAAGTTATAGAATCATCTGTTTGTATAAAATAAATAAATAAAATCAACAATAGTAAATAATATATTACTTTTTGGTTTTAATATGGCCTCATACAGTTAGAAAATTTAAGTTATAGGATCATCTGTTTGTATAAAATAAATAAATAAAATAAACAAATAAAAATACGTACCGTATGACATGTCGTCACGATGACGTAGTGAGGACATCGGAAAATATTTATCATCTCTTTAGTAAAAAATGAAATACAATTAAAATAAACAAATACTTATA